TCGTAGACAGAGAATTAGCAGAGTAAGCAGAGGACAACAAGATTTAAATGGTAGGCTTTATATAGAGTAGGTTTAAAAAGTTCCAGTATCCTTGTTTCCCCCATTGATAAAACAAAGTAAATAACATGTACTAGTAGAATATATCAGAGACCAAAATAAAAACAACATCAACCAAATTGATGAGATTTAAAGAACTTTACTTACAAAAACTTGTGCAAGCCATCACACAGGCTCAAAATTTGTGTAGGGAGATGAAATCCAGATAAAGGTGTAAGTCCAATAGAAAATGAGTAGTAATACAGCATTTTCTTCTCTGGTGGTGAAGCAAAGGGAGAGGTTTCCCACGTGGTTAGTTGGAGCATCATGCAAATGAATATGAAAGATACTAACAGGTTGGCATTCTAACACATACTGACTGACAACAAAGAAATAAAAAAAATTAAACTCTCTACTTCAAAGGAGATGGAGCACGGTCTTTGGTCAGGTATGCCAAGGAGAAAGGGGGCATACAAATGTGATTGGGGGTCATAAAAACACACAGCGACAAGCATGCACGATTGTTATTTCTTCAACAATTAGAAAATGTACTACAGTACAAGTAATTATTTCTAACTTGTTATGTACAAGTTCTGGCCTCATCCTGTCAATGAGCACTGCAAACAATTTCTACCAGTCTTTTTTGGATCTCATTCCAGAAGTTCCAATTATATTCCAGATCTTCTGGAGCAATGTAAGGAAATGCAGATTGGGCACATGCAGTTCTAATGTATAGAAATACATGATAAATGATATCAGGTGCAAGAAAATAGACTGTTAACTAGGGCAAGAATACTTTGGAGATTTTTTTAAAGTCCTGTATTTAAATAAATAAAAATAACATCAGATGTAGAAAGAAACTTAGCCTTTTTCCAAATGTGCTTGCTTTCTATGTACAATGAAGACTTTTATTCAGGAAGACATACTTAAACCAGAGGTGTGCTACCCTGTTTTCCCTACAACTCTGAGTCAGGTATGAATCACAGCGCAAATCTAGAATTGAGACATGCAGTGTCTAGAATATTATAAAATTACTTTTATAGGCAGAATTAATTGACATTCATTGAATAGGTTCAAGCAAAGATGCCATGAGTCATATTAGTTCTTGCACTTTGAAGAAATAGATTTACGACAGCCAAATTAATAAATTTTAAAGGGTTGTGATATTTAATAACCTATTCTACAGAAAATTTTATTACGGATTAATAGTGCAAATGTTAACTTGCTTAAATGAGAAAATGATAGCCATAACCAAAAGGTCCATCAAGATAATATAAATTATTATCAATTTTCTTCAGCTCTGCATGATTTAGGGTAGCATGATAGTCAATTGCCTCTTGCCTCAATGAGGAAAAGATTTGTTCTCTGTCTCAGATTCTTCTAAAAACATTTTAGTAACAATAGCATTGCAATATAATATTAATATACGTACTCGTGTGCATACATGTGTACATGTGGAATAACTGTAGTTAACATTCCTCTAGGAAAGGAAATTTGGGAGGGTCACACTTCTTCTCTCCACCTGTTCCCACAAAAGGATCAAACATTTGAGAGAGGGTTGATAGGAGACATGATAGCCATGTATATGTATATTTGTTGAGGCCTTGGCCTTTGTAAGCCGCATCAAGTCCTGTGGGAGATGCTAGCGGGGTACAAATAAAGTTTAATAATAATAATAATAATAATAATAATAATAATAATAATAATATATGTGAAAGGATGTTGTAAGGAAGAGGGCACAAGCTTGTTTTCTGCTGCCTTGGAAACTAGGACTCGGAGCAATGGGTTCAAATTACAGGAAATGAGATTCCACCTGAACATCCTGACTGTAAGAGCTGTTCAGGAGTGGAACTCTCTGCCTTGGAGTCTGGTGGAAGCTCCATCCTTGGAAGCTTTTAAACACACTGGATGGCCATCTGTCAGGGATACTTTGTGCTTTTCCTGCATTGCAAGGGGTTGGATTAGATGGCTCATGTAGTCTCTTCCAACTCTAATATTCTATGATTCTATGATTTTAGCCCCTAAGTGCACTCTAGAGGATACAGGAACATTTTCATGTTTGGGGCCTTTCCTGGATTATTTAAATGTAACAGAGGCCTCTCCAATAACTGGAAGTAAGCATTAGTCACATCATCATCATCATCATCATCATCATCATCATCATCATCACCATCATCATCTTTAATTACTTATTAATCGCCCTCCATCCAAGATGCTCCAGGTGATTTACATAGCAGAAATTATACAGGATAAAACACATACATACAAATATTAAAATTAACATGGGTCAAATGCTCTAGTAAAAAGCCAGGTCTTAAGTGCTAGGGTAAAATGCCCTAAGTCACGCATGGCTGTAAAATAGGGAGGCAAGGAATTCCATAAGGCAGGGGCAGAAATAGAGAAGGCCCTGCGTCTGGTGCTTTCCATTACCTGTTCACTTCTAGCTTGAAAAAAATGTCTACCCTTATCCTAAATTTGCCAACAGAAGCCACAAAATGTTGGGGAAATGAGCCCTTCACCCGCAGAAGTTATATTTGCATATTATTATTTTTTAATTGCAAAAAAATTTTGTGGACATTTGAGAGCAAGTAACAGTATCAATAATATTTTGACCCTGGGAGTCTCTGGGGCAGAGATAGCTGTGGGGACTGCAAACAGTTCACAGACCATACTATGCCCGCCCATACTATCAAAAAGTGTGTTATAAAGACTGAGAAATCCCATAATTGTGAAGGCGTTGGTACTGTGGAGCACAAACAATATGCAATGATCATAATGTGATCATGGAGTTGTTCTTCTGATCAATCAGTCCATACAAGGCTCCACAGGTTCAAAACAGTATGGAGACCATTCTACTGAAGTTTCTCACCAGCTGAGAAGTGCCTATAGTTCAGGATGATCATTTGATAAAAATTATGTAAAAGAAGTCAGGCAAGATGGTGTCAGCAAATAAGAATTAGGTGTCTTCTCACACAAATAGTGAAGCTGAAAAGACTATGGCACTTAGATGGTGTGGAAGTAAGAATCCATCCACCATGATTCCAACTGAAATATTTCAGAAGCTAACACGTCTCTCTCTACCATCTTTAAATTAAGTTGTGCTTCCAAATAGCTTGATATGACAAGCTCTCCGAATCTTGAAATCTCGATACTTAGAATACTCACCTTTAGTATACACCTAGTATTAAACCTTTTGTCGGACATAAATCGTCCTGCAACAGTTACAGATTTGCAACTCCATTCCTGCCTACTGCTAATTTTAAAAACCCCAAAAACTTAAAAGCTCACTAAATTTCACAATTCCATTCAAAAATTATTATCTCTATGTGTTTTAAAATTAAGACTGAAAAGACAACAAATACGGCATGCCTGTTGTAATAGGGAAATAACAACTTTTCACTCCTTTTATGGATGACAATAAGAATGAGAAATTAATTCAAAAGAACTGGGATGTTTCAAACATTTCACTAATTATGTAACAAAGGGTAAGATCAACATCTTCTAGCCATTTCTGTATAATGTTCCTAGCAAAATGTATGACAGTATATGCCCACAACTATCATTTGGCATAGTTTTTGCGTTTGTTTCAATTGTAAATCTGTCATCAAACTGAAAATACATTTCAGTGTGAAGTGTTATCCAAATATGTCTATTCACATTTAATGTCGGGGAGGGGGAGATATTTATCACAGTTTGCTGTGTTTTAGCTGCCAGCAATTTTCAATTTTCAAAAATTTTGGGGGTAAGACTGCACATAATACTTAATGCTTCATTTAATGAAATGTTGGGAAAGTATATTCCTTTTTTAATGTACTGATGTCCTGACTTCTACAATATATACCCCCTCTCAAAATAGCTTCCAAAATTAAAAAATCAACATATCAAACAAAAAGAAAACCCTATAGGCCAAAGTAGTACTGTATGTCAGTGCAATTGTATATTGACACACAATTGCAGGTCTACCAGATTTTCCCCAGTATTTGTTCTGATAAAGTCATGCTGTCATCTCCTTAAATGTTTAAGAAGCAGCTGATACATTCAGGAGACCTACATATCTTTGGATTAAAACATAGCTCATCCACCTTTTAATTGTTTGTACCAGATATGTCAGTGGAGCATTACAGGGTTAGTCAAAATGAATAGGCCAATAAGAAAATTAATTTTAGACAAATGTATGTTTACTGTAACCAAACCACAGCTACGTAGCGACAGATAAACTATCAAAGTTTTGTCTCACCTTCAGAGATGTTCGATATGGGCGCCCCGTGTGACACGGCAGATGTCCAAGCGATAGTCCAGTTCATTCCACATCCGTTGCAGCACATCCGACGTAATGGCATCGAATGCAGCAACGTCTGGGAAGGTGTTCGTTGAGGTCCTAACCCTAACCCAACCCTAACCCTAACCCTAACCCTAACCCTAACCCTTGAATAACCCTAATCCTAACCCTAACCCTAACCCTAACCCTTGAAATTCTCGCTGGACCGTAATTACTGACATTGTTTTAGCAAATGTCATCACACAAAACGCCTTCTCTTTGCTTGATTCCGCCATTTTGAAAACAGCGACCCCTAGCGACGCCTAGTGGCATTAACGTACATGTGTGTTGCTCAAAAAAAACTTTGATAGTTTATCTGTTGCTACGTAGCTGTGGTTTGGTTACAGTAAACATACATTCGTCTAAAATTAATTTTCTTATTGGCCTATTCATTTTGACTAACCCTGTACAATACTGTTAGCATTGATTCAGGCCTTGGAAATTTGTTTTTGTGTGCTTTCAAGTTGTTTTTGGCTTATGGCAACCCTAAAGTGAACCTATCACCAGAGGGGCTTCCTCTTTGCTTCCTTATAAGTTTATGAGGCTGAGAGATTGTAGCTTGTCCAAGGCTTCCAAGGAGGTTTTCATGGCTGAAGTGGAGATTCAGTCCATTGTCTTCCGAGTTAAAAAAAAACCTACTACACCATGCTGTCTTTTCATTTATTTAAAAATCTATATCCAGCTCTTTATCTTTAACTGTTTACAATAAAATCAACTTCATAAATAACACAAAATATACTTTATTCCATTTAAAAACAAACAGTTGGAAACCAATTAAAACATTCTTGAATAATGTAATTATAAACATAAGCAATATCTTCTGTTCATTTGGTAACCGCGTTTGAAAAATAACCCTTTGCCATGACTTGTTGCAAAATTGCAGGGGGGATACTGCTCACATTCATGTGTTGCTTGTTGTTCTACTATTGATTCCTATAACTTTTCAATAAGGAAATGATTGTTAAATGGATGACATTACTGTTGAAAACCTCATGTCAAAATGCATCTGAGAGTGCCTTAAGCTATTAAATTATACTTTTGAAAGTAACTAGAACACATTTCTAATTATACTGATAAAGCAAATGGGTTCCTACTTCTTTTCCAATATGCCTTCATTGCAACTCTGGTATCTCAAAAGCAATTTTGCTTGTAAATTTTATTTTCCAGGTGCTGCCCCGTGCAAACACTAGCTTCCCTAGGTGGGCAGTATTGCTCTCTGGGGGCACTGGAGCAATCCAGGAGGGCAGTAATAGCCTGGGGTGCAACTAAAGGCACTGAATAAAAATAAAAGGATGGTGGAAACGTAAGGAAGAAAAATGTGAAAAATGATTTGTACATGTTTCATCTGTTGTGCAACATAGAGTTAAAGTTGAAGTGATCACTTTATTTTCCAAATAAACACACAAAATACAAGTTATAATCAATCAGTGACTTAGCAAGCAAACATTTTGGGTATTGTTGGGAAGTTCAGCATGCATCAGCATATCATGACTTGTTTATGATACTATGAACAGGCAACATGTATGAAATCTAATTCAAATTGTTTCTGAATTTTATGACAAGCAGTTAATAGTGCAACTGGATTAAGAATTTACAAATTTAATTCATGCTATTGACAAAAACAGACCTGAACTTTATTACATTGAAAGCAGTGGGCCAGGTTCATTTTTCTCATGTAGCATTATTTTTAATGTTATTAGTATTTTTTATTAATTTTTGTTATCTTAATTTTCTGTATTTATTAAAATCAACCATAGTAACATTTGCATCACACTTTGTAATTTCAAGCTTCAAGTTTTTTTATTTACAAAAACATGTTTCTTTCTAGATAGAGCTACAGATACATAAATGAATACAAATTTGTCACATCTTTCTTTTTTTCACATTAAAAAGGTAGATTCCCGGGCGAGGGGACTGAGGTGTTTTTTTTTTTTAAAGGGAGCAGTAGGCCAAATAAGTTTGCACTAGTGGAGCAACTAGTTCAAAGAATACCTACCATAATGAAGTTGTAATGAGTAATGAAAGGTGTTGTGGACCAGTTCATGTAACACTTTGATGAAGTATTTGCATGTGCAGGAAAAAGGTATTGGATATCATCCAGGCATAATAATGGAGTTTGAAAAGAGGTATAAGCTCTACACCACAAAATTATACTATTGGCTACAATAATCTGTTAGGCAATATATTGCTTTTGCCAAAAAAGAGACATAGATACACACATGCATACACACACACACACACACACACACACACACACACACACACACACACACATGAATGACTTAACTTATTGGCTCTATTCTTTAAAGAGTTTTCAAACAGACATTCATAACTATTATTATGTCAGACCCTTGGTTTTTTAAATTGTTTACAATTGCTTTCAAAGAATGGGCTTCGCCTGTTTTGTTTTAGTACTGTCATTTTAGTCAACATCACTTTGGGAACACTGGTGGGAGGAAAAACCATTTATAAGTACCTTTACTAACAAATAATAAGCTGATCCACCTACACTAATATCATAATGCTCCTTGGGGCCTTCAGCTGCTTCCTAGGGAAGTTCAATAGATGCAAAATTACTCAGAATGGCTTTTTACCAACAAACACTGGGTCACAATGGTAGAGTCAAGAAGGCACTCTTGCTTGATTGACAAAACATGATGGAGCACATACAAAATACAGTGTCAGAGCAAATGGCATCCAACTTTCCAGATCACAACTGCAAATCCACTTATTCCTGCCATGTTATGGAAAACTAATGAAAGCAAAAGAATGCATTTGACAAGGCAAACATCTCCTGTCCCACTCAAAAACATTCTTGGTTCTGGTCAGAACTGATGTAAGTGAACGGGACACAGTCTACCTGGTTTTCAGGCACCCCTTTTTGGAAAATTACAGAAAAATTGAACGGGGGCCTCTGAAAGAGGCCTTTTGTGATCTGGCTGACGGGAGGATCTTCCCGCTTGGGAGGTGGAGCCGGCTCCCATCCGTTTGTTATCCAACGCGGACAGTAAGGGGAGAAGTCTGAGGTTTGGGCCGTTAGAGCTCCTTTAACTCCAATCAGAAGGTTTGAAAACCTCTTGGATTCAGCCGGGTGCCGATTGAGTATCGGGCGGCAGCAGTCTTCAGCAACAGCCCCTCCCAAAGCGGAGGGGAGGCTGGAATATGGCGCGGTTGTTTGGCAAGTCTCTAGCCGGGCAAAGATGAATGGCTCCAATGCTGTGAAAAGGACGAATGACTGCTGGAAAAACCACCGCATTGAGGTGGAATGTTGTTAGAAGACTAAAAAGGCATGGGTCCCAATTGAAAAGGACGCCAGAGCTGACTTGTAAGAAGCTCTGAAGTCACTGCTGTGGCAGAAAAAAAGCGAACTGGGGAGCGTACCACCAGGGGGCCCTTTATACCCTTGGGAGGAATGGGCAGGCATACCGCCAAAATTCAAAAATATAGCCTGAGAAATTTCCATTGATTCCTGTGCAGGCGCATTAACTCCACATGTGTGTATTCCCAGACACCACAAAGAAAAAACATATTTGAAGGAAATTTTCCGCAACAAATCAAAATATATTCACCAGGATATTTAAGTTCTAAGTCCTATTTTACCACGTGGTCTTATCTTCTTCAGTACTCATATTACACTGAAAATAAAGTGTACTTTTATATAGAATGGTAGACAACTACCTTTTAAAACATAAACGTATCTATCTCTTACTTATCTTTAATAGCTGAATAACTCTAAGGATACTTCTACATAGACAAAAATGATTTACAACTTGATAGCTCCTCTTAGCTTTGCAGAACGTCCTCTTGGATTATCTTGAAGGTCCTTAGCCTGAGGAGTAAGCACTTTTTTCTGTATACCTATCCATTTTGAGTTAACATTTCCACTAGAAAATTCCTCCTCCTCCTCCAGTTCTGCAGAATCCTTTCCTATTTGCTTGATCTTCTGTCTTACACTGAGGTTGAATTTTTCTGAAATATCTATTCCGAGAAGAAACCTTTTGATGATGCGGTCCTCTAAGGAATGGAAAGAAAGAGCTACAAATCGTCCACCAGGTTTTAGAAACTTCTCAGCTGTCTGCAGTCCTGCATACAGTTCATGTAATTCATTGTTGACAAAGATACGCAAGGCTTGGAAAGTTTTGGTAGCCACATGAGTAGGTCTTTGAAGCAAGTCTTTTCGAGCATACAAAGCCACATCAGGGAAAGCACCTATTTGATTTTTTAAGAGAGAGAGAGAATGAGAGAATTAGAATATTAGACTTTGCTCACTGAATTATTACCTACATCTTCTCATTAACCACTGTTAATGTTGTATTAGTAATTGTTGTAAATGTTCTGCATGCAACCTTCTGCATGTTCAGTGGAATTCACAATTTTTGGAAGCTCATGGTCTTCACAGAGCTCTTTTGCTATAGGACTAGGTAGAAGAATTTAATAATAAATTGAACACATAAGGGTCACTAAAAATCCAGGTTAAACAATTCCAAACTAATCTCTGATCAAAATATTATTTATTATTATTTATTATTAATTTACAGCTTTTATATTCTGTCCTTCTCACCCCGCAGGGGACTCAGGGCAGATTACAGTGTACACATATATGGCAAACATTCAATGCCAATTTTAACATACAACATATACAGACATACACAGAGGCTATTTAACTTTTTCTGGCCGCCAGGGGAGCTGTCACTTTCATCGTCCATCTGTGACACTGATGAAATACTTTCGCATTCCCCGCATGCTTTTTTGCTGGAGTGCTTTACTGGAGTCTTTTTTATGGCCTCATAAATTAGTTAATTTAGCTTTCCCACACTTTAAGGTGGTACCTAATTTTCCTACTTGACAGATGCAACTGTCTTTCGGGTTGCAAAGGTCGACAACAGGCTACACAATTGGTTGGAAACCCACTCCAACCCGGGCTGGTTTCGAACTCATGACCTTTTGGTCAGAGTGATCTTAATGCAGCTGACACTCAGCCAGCTGTGCCACAATCCCGGTGCAACTGACCGAATTGTAAGGGAAAATTTTCATACTTGTTTCTGTGTATACTACCAGCAGACACAACAACAAATATATTTATTTCAAAATGCCAAAAACAGGAATACAGGAAGCTTATAGTAACTTCTCCTGTAGTAGACCACTAGCCCATCTAGCCCAGGACTGTTAGCTTTGAATGGTGCTTTCACTTTGGATTTTGTGTCCTTGAAATTCCATGGACTACTATTCAATTGCAAACCAAGCCAAACAATGATTATCATCCAAAGTTTGACAACACTGTGTATGTGTAGGGTTATATGGTAGAAATAATAACTGTAATCAAAATGTTAATTTTCTATTTTAACTAGTACTTGAGTTTATTTTAACTAGTACTTGAGTTTGGAAGACTAGATGGAACACTATGGTCAACAGATTATTTGATGGCATTTTAGGATGGTACCATGAGTAGGAGGAGCAGTAACTTTAATCCTTGAGGTTTTCCAGCAGGGAGGCAATATTTCATTAGAGGCTCCCAGTTTGTACAATTTAGGATATGTTCATCCACACTGTTATCTGTGCTATTTATTTTCTATGTAACATTGGGGCCTCAATTCTCTTCATTTTCCCCAATGGGGCCTTAATTCTCTCCATTTGCTGCTTACACTGATTAGCCAATACATTCACTTTCTAGGAGATCTCATAGGCCCATCTGCATAGGCCAAATGAGGCGGGAAGAGCTTGAATGGACTCTGTGGCATCCACATGATGCATTTGGCTGATTCGCCTTATTGCACATTAAACAAAGAGCTCACTGGGACTTTGTGGCTGTGTAAACAGTTAGACCAATTCTGAATCAGAAACAGATATGGCTGTTTATACAGCCATCCCGCTTCCCCTGGGGATGAAGCAGCCTGGGGATTGGAGATGGGACTTACCAGTCCCCTCGTGTCCTTGGCTTAGCAGCAGCCCTGGGTGCAAAATTATTGGGGACTGCCGCTTGTCCCACCAAGTGATGCTGGTCAGAGCACCAGAACAATTGGAAAAGGGAGGTGGGTGAAATGAGGGGCAATTCTTCCTTTACCTGTCCCACATCACTTTGGTGCTCTGGCCAGCGTTAGTACATGGAATGAATTACAACCCCCAATGATTTGGCACCCAGTGGTCGCTGCTAAGCTGACGACAAGATGGGGGAGGATAAGGATGGCCATCCAGCAGCATCGCTGAGCTGTGCAGCCTTCTTCCAGCTGCTGATCCAGATTGCCACCACACAGTGGTGACACTTGCCAGCTGCCAAGTCAGTTCGGTGGTAAACTGAAGACTCCCTTGGCACTGATCAAGAATTTCCCACTATGGAGCCACTATGATGTTTGTGACCCATATAGATGGGCCCTTAGTGTTCAACATTACATCTCACTACTTGAAGTATTATCGTCTACAGAACTACTGATGAAATTTGACCGTTTTATCAAAGGTCTACAGTTGGCATATGTTTCAGTAAATGTCACATACATATGTAGGGAATGTTTAAGTGCCCACAGCATTCCTACAGTTTTGTAATTTAAATATTTCCTATGATAGATCTATAATTTAAAACATAATTTAAATATAATTTAATTTAAAACATCATGCATACTTCATGGACCTTTTACTGAGGCTCCTTGGGGAAATCTTCTCCAAATCCCCTTATATAAAAATACTCATGGAGGCTAAGAGTCATAGGCAGTCATGACATACCACATAATTCCCATGTGACAGAATACAGGAAGAATAATTTCATCAACAGTCACCAATATGAGACTCAGTGTGTGGGGTAAATTGCTTGACTGTACTCCAATATCTGCTCCTAAACTCTCTTCAAGTAGACAAACTGATCTTGCAAATGTCTTCTATCTCTACTGACATAATTTAAAGAACGCAGGTATATAGTAAGTATGACTACACTGTTAGTTAATTTTTAGTACCGTATATTGGGTTGGGCGTGTAAGACGACCCCCAACTTTTCCAGTTAAAATATAGAGTTTGGAATAAACTCACCGTATAAGACTACCCCTCTTCAAACACAAACCAAATAAAATGTTTAAAAGCATCAGATTTGATTTCAATATGGTAATTTTCCTATTACTGTAATTCCTTCTCTGCCTCTCAGAAATCGCACACGTGCACTACACCACTTCACTGCAGTCTTCAGGAGCGAGATTTGAGAGGCAGAGGAGGAGGTATGGTAATAGGATACAAGGGCGGGCCAGACAGATAAAAGAGTTGTGTTTTTCTGGGCCCAGAGCCACTCTATCTCTTTTTTCCATACCCCGGGTGCCCCGGATGCCTGCAGCTTGCTCCGCCCATCACTTACACCTTCCCGGTGAGGCGCCACCTCACTATTGGGACCGCATTAAGTGCACAAATCCTGATGAATGGATTTTCTTCTACCATACTTGTACAGCGTTGCCCTTAATGCTTTCATACAGTCGCTGCATACGGCAGGGACGCAGCCACTGCCATTTTTGAGTTTCCCCCACAATATGCAGCAACCACAGATTCTCCAATCCGGATTGGAAGTTTCAGCATCCGCTCTATAAGATGACTCCCAGCGTATAAGACAACTCCCGTGTATAAGACGACCCCTGACTTTTGAGAAGATTTTCTTGGGTTAAAAAATAGTCTTATACACCAGAATATATGGTATTTTAAGACTCAGTAAACAAGCAGCTTGCTTTACATCCTGCATATCCTCCCAAACTAGGGATCATGGTGGATTCCACATTAAAATGTATTTTCATAGTGTTCTGTTTTATTATGTTGTACCCCACCTCCAGGAGAGGTGGGTAATAAATAATCATCATCATTATCATAAAATATTACACACACACACACACACACACACAAAGGGATCGCAAGGGATCCATTCTAGGACCCTTTGTGTAATACAATTTTTGTGTATAATCTTGAACCCTCATTTTCTTAACTGAAATGAACAATATATCTGCTTCTGATCAAAGCATACCACAGAATCTTGCAAGAGGACCTTCGATGAATAGAGAAGCATTCTTTCTAGCTCTCCAGCATGACTGTGTGGTCAACTTCCACTAGAACCCATGATTCCAGAATGTGGTGTAGAAGGACCCTCTGGGCTGGGTTTTGCCTCATGGTTTCATCTTGACACCCTTCTCCCCCTTTCCACCTTGAACTATAGTTTCCCCCTTTCCATCTTGAACTATAGGATTCTAAACCGATGCCTTACAAACAGTAATAGGGTAGGCATGGACTAATAAACAGGAGCACAATCCTGAAAAGCTCTGGTAAAAAGGCTGCTTATCTCAAAATTATAAGCAGCCTTGCATTGGACTTATATGGCTTATATGGAAAGGATATACAGTACATGTTTTATTTAATTCTGCTGGAGTCAAGAAAAAAATGAAACAGCTTAGTAATGCTTTCCCTTTATTCTCAGTTTTACTGAATACATCCAGGAGAGACTGATTATCTAGTTTAGGAATATTGGGGCACCCAGGGAGAAAATGTAACCCCACCTTGTTCTTATCTTTCTACAGAAAACAAAACAAAGCGCACTGGCAGTGGAAGAAAAATCTCGCTTGGTAACAGGCTCCACTACAGATAATAATATAACAAAATTTGAATGGGAAACATGCAGAATGGATTTCATTCATAAAAATGCCAAGCGTCTGGCAAGAGGAATGATGTAAGCTCCAAGGACAGAAATTGTCTTTTTAAAATTTGGGGATGCTCTGATGTTGCTTACAGTGTTTGAAACGTAACAGATCCATATGTTAACATGCAATGAAATTTGAAGTTTGAGAATGACTTAGCAACGTGCTGTGCCTGCCAATGAGAAGCATTTTGAGTCTGTGACAGACTTTAAAAATTAATTCTGAACAGGCACCTGTTTACAGGAATTTCCTGTTGAATCAGAATCACATTTAATAAGTCCCAGTGACGAAGCTTTTGTTCTTTTGCCTAAGATCTCTTATTAAATGTTAATGTACATCCACCACAAACTTGAGCAATATTATACATTTTCAGTTAATTAAAAGTCTATGAATGCAGGCAGATAAAACTAAATTGATCTACCAAGTTTTTTTTTCCCATTCATCTGGCACGTCAATGTCTATTCCCACCAAGTTCAGTGCAGATAATATATTATTTCACTCTGATCTATCAACAAATCACACATCTAAAGGATGGAAAGGAAAATTAAGTTACTATATTAAAGTATTGGGTAGCAGGGAACATCAAACACTTAAATGAGAGTTTAGAAATACTTTAAGGAAGAAGACAATGGGTCCCTTCTGATGCCTGGTTTGTTTATTTATTTTTGGATCATTTGACCAAGATACCTTAGATGCCAGCAGACGTTTTATGTTCCATGGTTGGGAATTGTACAGAAGTTAATTGTAAATGATATGATTATAACTGTATTGATTGTAAATGATATGATTATAACTGTATTTGTGTTTGCATTGGTTGCCCTAATGCTGGAGCGGCCTAGCTGTGAGGAGTGTGTTACCATGGAAACGATGCTGTAGAGAAGTGGGAGGAGCTTAGAGAGGAGAGTTTTGAAAAAGCGACAGTTAAAGTTAGTTGGGGGTTTAGGCTCAGAGGAATGAAGAGTCAGGTTTAGGCAGAGAGGAGTGAACAGTCATGAAGTGTTGAGAGAGAGAGTGGGAAGTAGAGAAGCGGTGTTTGTGAATAGTCAGAGGTTTCTTCAGTTTAGGAAGGCTGAAGGGGAAACCTTGTTAGTTTCATTAGTTAGAGAAGACTAATAGAAGCTTGTTTAGATCACTAGTTAAAAGTGAACTAGAGATCTGAGGTTTGATCACGGAAGGATCAAACAGGAAGACTATTCACCTCAGGAACCATTGTCTAATAAAGTGCTTCACCACAGCAAAAGTTATTATAAAGTGTAACATCAGAAGTCTGTACTGTATCGCAACCAAGTTATATGTAACGTTCTCCAAGCATTTTCCAAGTTTATCACCAAACTGCAACCATACGCTTTGTTTCAAAATAAACTTGTTCTCTTTGATTTTAAGACTGCCTCACCTCCATTAATTTTGCGTTCAGTGTGCCCAATCTCCCAAAATTACCTCACATCACAAATTGGTGGCACCATTAAGGATAATAAATAATAAATCGTAACTTCTCTCTCCTGAAACCCCTTTCCTTTGAATTGGGGCAAGCGGCCCTTTGCAGGAATATGATAAAAGATTGAGTTACTCTAGTCCTGAAAACTATGACTGCTTGGCAGAGCCTATCTAATATCTTATATCAAGCTGACTAATGCTTATGGTTGTTTTTGTTTTTTTACATATGAGTCATGTTGATCTTTTTTTACTCCACAACAATAAATAAAAAGGTAAGCAATAGTTATGATTTCAAAATAATAACTAATATTGACACTCTAAAATGTATTAAGACTTCTAGACATGTAAGTAGTCTGTCTGACCATGGAAGAAGGATTAAACCTATTCTTGATAGGGTTGCACTCCTCATGAAGTGTGTGTTTAAGGATATATTAATGGTACCAGATGCTTTTTATGAAGAGTCGAGAGTGACTGAACGAATAAACAACACATGGTTTTTACCAAACAGCTTGGTGCACCAAGAGCTGGTAACATCTATGCTTGAAAACATCTTTGAAGACATTGTGAAATTGTCCGTGGGTTTAAAAGTAAAATGGCAATAATTCAGCTGCTAACTAGCCTAGATTAAATAAATTGTATTTCATTGTTTTCAAAACTTTTAGTGCTGTTTTTCCCTTTAAACCCTTTTATGGAGATCTGAATGCCCCAAAGTTTGTCTGCCTATAAACGTATCTGGTAATGGGCATGCATCATCCTACTTATTGATGCCTGACAAGTAACAACAGGGAAATAGGAATTTTTTTTCTGATACAGGATCCTGTTACTGGGATCACTCTCATCTAATCTGTTGTGTTTGATGCCAAAACTCACAAACTTTCAAAGAAAGGTAAAAAGTAAAACATTTATATTGCTGGTAATGTTTTTGAATGGGACAGGACTTATTTTTATTTCTCACTGAGTGGATGGATGGATGGACAGGTAGGTAGGCAGGTTGGGTTTAGGTCAATTTTCCAAAATCATTCTTCTAAGAAGGGATGCAATGTCCAATAATAACTAATCAATACATATGTAAATGTGTTGTGCCAGGCTTTCCATGATTCATTTCACCTGAGATAAAAGCTGACAGTTACTTCATATATAAACGTAAAACTGAAAGGGTTCATCTTACTTTCTGTATTTAGATTTAAGGAACATTGACACCTCTTAACCTGGGATAAATTATCTGCCAGATCATAGAATCATAGAGTTGGAAGAGACCTCATGGGCCATCCAGTCCAACCCTCTACCAAAAAGCAGGAAAACTGACAGATGGAAATGTCCATTCTCTAACAGGATTTGAATACCTGCACTCCTATATACCCTTGACAGCAAGGAAACCATTAAGTTTATCCATATAATTAATTTTTTAAAAAATTTAAAAGGATCTGCTTGGTCAGAAGCTTTATGAACTGATAATGTTGAAAAATGAAAGGAGGGGACGGATCTTATGTATTTTGGACATCTGTCAGATCTATGCAATGCCCTTTCAGTAAGGTCACGGTCGGCCCTTAATCTACATCAGTCATTCTCAACCTGTGGGTCCCCTGATGTTTTGGGCTTCAACTCCCAGAAATCCTAACATCTGGTAAACTGGCTAGCATTTCTGGGAGTTTTAGGCCAAAACATCTGGGGACCCATAGGTTGAGAACCACTGCTCTACATGCTCAATCTCAGAGATATGGAAAAATGCTTTAGCCATCTGATTATAACATTTTCCATACAAATCATGGAGGTCCTACACTAATGGCATAACTTACAGCTCCATTGAAGAGGATCATATGATATGAAGGGAAAGTACAAAGCCAAGAGACAAATCATTCACCAGATTGGAGCATCTTTATTCCTGAAATTAGTTTCTGTTCCACATATCTTGCTGTTCTTGGTTTTAAGTATTGATTAAATTGGGTAAAAGTGATAGTAGAGATTGCAAAATAGGTGCAGTCCCTTTGAAATTCAACAATTCTTTTTTCAGATGTTTGCAGATCATCATTAACTGCTGACAGATCATACTGAGTTTGCGTTAAAGGTCAGGTCAGACTCATTTGAAGAGTAGGTCTCTGATGAACTGCAACAACATTGCAATAAGCCATATTACTCACCTCTTGTTAATACTTTAAACTGAAATATTGTATTAAATTTTGCTTTTAATAGAGAAACCAGATCTTTGGGCAATAGTGGCATTTTGCCTTAGAACAAAATTAGCATATTAAAATTACAATAGAAACAGTATTGTTGTTGAGAGTTGAGAGATTCTCGGCAATGATAACATATCTGTTCTGCCTTTGCTTGTCCCATGTCTCACCTTGGTAGGCAAAATTATTAATGTTTCCATGTGAAGTTTATTATTAAACTAATCAGCATCCAACAGTATAAAAATACAGAGCACATGGAAAAATAGCTGACATCAGAATAGGATAGACAGGATTAGATTCTGCATGATTTCAAGTACAAATAGATCCCTCTGGGACTTTGTGGATTAATATTTTCTCTCCCTCAGACACTGCTCAGAATTAATGAGGGTACCTGCAACAATGCTGGCAAGCTGCTGAGTTCGGGTGATGGGGTAGACGCTGCGTGCCTGAACAATTGCTAAAGCTATTTTCTTGGCATGCCTCTCCTCCCCATACGTTCTCAGGATGGACGCAAGTGCCTGTTGATCTAAAGCGTTCACAACATCAGCAGCAGTGGGCATGTCAGGATACCTACGCACAAGAACAGCCAATTAGTCCACTGACGTCAGCCTTCATTGACAAGGGGTGAAGCTTCACAGCATTGAGACATAAAGTCAAACACACACTCACGGTTTATGAGGGTTTCTGAGATTTTACAAGGAGAGGGAGAAATTATTTTAAAGCAAAAATAGCTTCTATCTTGTAAATCACCATCTGATTAATTCATACAAGAATCATCTTCCTTTAGCTCAACCTTTCAACATTAATTAGCAATCCAAAAATAATTGAGACACTTTTTTCACAATAAACTTTAACATCATGAAGTTGATTTTTTTACACAAAAGGCAAAATATTGCTGAGATTGCCTTTGCTCATATAATGGCAGGACATGAACTCACTTTACAAGCAGATGTTTTTCTAAGTCATCACATTGCTTGGTCTTGCTCCTGATCAAAAAAGAGAGCCTTAATCTCTTTGATCTTTTCCCTCCCATCTGATGTTATGAAAAATGATCTTCTATGAAGAAGATATTTGTTAGCTGCATTGAGTCGCTATGTTGGAAAAAAGGTGGGATAAAAATTAAGTAACTAAATAATAAATATTAACTGTTTATTTAAAGCTCTTAAAGCTCTCAAATATTGTTTTGTTTAAGAGACTGATAGCAGAAATTAGCAGGCTAGATCCAGAATATAAGGAATAACTAACATTTCTTTTATTTCCCTCTTTCAAATAATCTATAGACTTTTATGTGCTGATTACTTCTGACTCAATTCTTCAGTGCTCCTTGCAGGCAAGGATGCTATATGTAAACATCACTAAAATTGAATGCACAAGAATATTTCAATAGGGAAACTAAAAAGAGATAATGAAGTCATCCCAATTTCCTAGATGCTATTCTTCCAGAAAAGTAACACCATGGAAAACATGTTGTGCTTATACATTAGTTGTGCAATCCAGCAGTGTTCAAAAAAGCAACAAGGAAACAACCTTCAAACACTAAAAGTTGCTGAGTAGGAGGCCACTGTATCAAAGGCACATCTTGTTTGTTTTTTCGAAGTCATTTGTTTAATTCCCTTTAAAACAATACCTCTATTATCCAGTGTATCAAGTGAACAAAATTTAACTTGTCTAATGCATCTTATTTCCTGAAGTGGCTAACTTGCTCCTATTTACTTGTTAACTTATTACTCTAGAAGTCTCTTAGGAAAATGTAGAATAATGAGAGACAGAAGTTCTGTTAGGACTGTACCCACAGGCATTAGACGTGCTAGTTCAGTGCCATTACCAACTAGTGGATTATGATTATTCAAGATTGCTGTAACTGAGATATAGTTTAAAGACTTTTCGCAAACTCATTTTCTTCTTCCAGCTGAACCACATCACCATATTTCTGTAACAGGTAGCAATGGTACACATGGGGAAAAACTCACATCTCAACCTGTCCTGGGATATCTGATGGCAGGTTTTTAAGGACCCAGGCTTTATAACAGTGCATCATTTGCTATTTATTCTTTCATACGCTTGCAAAGATCTTGTTGTCTATCCCAAGAGTAATGAGCTTTTTAAAAAATGACCTTGCATGCAAGGAGGCAGCCATCTTTAGGAAGGGAGTTCCAGAGCCGCAGGGTAACCACTAAAAAGGTCCTCTCTCTTGTTCCCACCAATCGCACTTGAGACTGTGGTGGGGCCAAGAGTAGGGCCTCTTCTGAAGACCTTGGGGCTTGTGTGGGTTCATAGGAGAAGATGCAGTCAGCTAAGTAGGCTGGGCCCAAACCATTTAGGGTTTTATAGGATAAAGCCAGCACCTTGAATTGCACCCAGAAACGAACTGGTAGCTAGTGCAGTTGTATTAACAGGGGAGAGGGTTAGCTCCCTATATCCCTATGTATTCAACCACACACACACAGTGTCACTATAAGGGCATAAAGAAACATTTAAATGTGCATCCAAAAATAGGGATAAATTCAATATTTTTGTCACATAGACACTAAAACACAACTAGTGGAATTGTTTAAAAATAGATAATACTTGAAAGCATCAACTTAAGAGAAGTTCATTGCCGTTCCTATCTATTTATTTTTTTACTATATTTTTACCCTGCTCTTCTCACCCCGAAGGGGACTCAGAGTGGATTCCAAGTTGGCCATATTTGCTGTGATACAAACAATAAACCAATTGTTCATTCGTTCAGTCGTCTCCGACTCTTTGTGACCTCATGGAACAGCCCACGCCAGAGCTCCCTGTCGGCCGTCACCACCCCCAGCTCCTTCAAGGTCCGTCCAGTCACTTCAAGGATGCTATCCATCCATCTTGCCCTTGGTCGGCCCCTCTTCCTTTTATCTTCTACTTTCCCCAGCATAATTGTCTTCTCTAGGCTTTGCTGTCTCCTCATGATGTGGCCAAAGTACTTCAACTTTGTCTCTAGTATCCTTCCCTCCAGTGAGCAGTCGGGCTTTATTTCCTGGAGGATGGATTGGTTGGATCTTCTCGCAGTCCAAGGCACTCTCAGAACTTTCCTCCAACACCACAGTTCAAAAGCATCTATCTTCCTTTGCTCAGCCTTCCCTAAGGTCCAGCTCTCATATCCATAGGTTACTACAGGGAATACCATGGCTTTGACTATGCGGATCTTTGTTGCCAGTGTGAACCAATACACAAATAAACCAATACACAAACCAATATACACAAATATTAAAATAATTAAAATTTTAAAAAAAATCATAGCATATGAATACATTACATTAATACATTAAAATCAGCTTTTAAAACCACACTCATTTCCTAGAACACGTTTCATCATTGATCTAACTTGGAAGGATGAGCAAGATGCTTACAAAAGTATCAGCTAATGGAGTATACTCTAGTGTAGCTTTTACACACTAATCTAGTTCTATGTAGTCTACTCAAGATGTGCTTTGATACCATCCAGTGACTGACTGAGAAAACTATTTTGCCAAATGAAATAAATATGATTTCTATGATATTGGAAATCTAAAGTATGTATTGGAAATCTAAACAGATATTAAATCAAATTGATATATAGTTTTTCTATTGAAGGAAAAAATGTTTTATCCATACATACCTGCCACCATCCATTCTCATATCCAGAGGGCCATCTTTTCGTAGGGAAAACCCTCTTTCTGGGGTATCAAGTTGCATGGATGAGCAACCAGCATCCAAAAGAACACCATCAAGATTCCCTGGCTGGACACCAGCAGACGTTAACAAGGCTTCTAATTGACTAAATTGTCCTAGAAGAGGCTGTATTTGTTGCCTACAAGAAGAATCAAAGAAAAAAACCCCATACATGATCAGTATAAGAACAGCTAAGTTTAATTACAAATGTCTTGGTTCCTATTTATTTATTATTTTTATCCATATATTGCTTTTCTCAACCTCAGAGGGGACTCAAAGTGGTTCACAACAAAGTAAATGGCAAAGTTCAATGCCTCACAAAATATAAAATATAATACATAACTCAAATAGCAAATAACAACAGATTAAAACTATAAAACATCAAACATAGGCAATATAAAACAAAATACATCAGACATTGCACCAATCCCAAAGTTAACATGTCTGCTTCATCTCATTCTCGAAATGTTTGCTAATTAGCCATGTTTTGAATAGTTGTTTTTTAAAAAAATATTTATAAATTTGTCAAATAAAATGTATAAGCATACATTCTCTCTTTTTACAATATCTTAGGCAAAAGAGTATGTCATATTACATACAATCTAACAGTAAAAGAAAAAAATCAAAAACATCTTTAAGCATATTGCTTATCATTATTTTTAAATTTCCCTTTTATCTACTTATACATGTTTTATTTCTTTATCATTAATGACAGAAAACTTCCCACAAAATTTGAAATAATAATAATAATAATAATGAACATAATAATAATAAACTTTATTTGTACCCCGCCACCATCTCCCCAATGGGGACTCGGAGTGGCTTACATGGGGCCAAGCCCAAACAACAATTACAATAAAGAACGACCGAACGCAAACCAAAAACACAAACAATAAACAACATCATAATTACATAAAACATATGAATATACAACAATGTAAAATTACAATAAACACAAACACAGTGACAATGAGCAGGCTACATGTAATGGTTAAAAGAACTAATGAAAATTGGTTAAAAACTCGGGTGAGATAAAAGAGAAACAAAATATTTGTGGAGGAGGGCTCATAATAGTGGGAGATGTGAAATCAAACTTTCCCACGAGGGGGGAAAACGTATACTCCAGTGACAGAACATTGCACATGAGGGATTATGTGTGATTGAATACCTATTCACCAAAGGCGCAACGAAAGAGCCAGGTTTTGAGGTTCTTTTTAAAAGTTTCTAGGGTAGGAGCCCCCGGTGGCACAGTGGGTTAAAGCACTGAGCTGCTGAGCTTGTTGATTGAAAGGTCGCAGGTTCAATTCCGGGGAGCGGCGTGAGCTTCCGCTGTCAGCCCTAGCTTCCGCCAACCTAGCAGTTCGAAAACATGCAAATGTGAGTAGATCAATAGGTACCGCTCCGGCAGGAAGGTAACGGCGCTCCATGCAGTCATGCCGGCCACATGACCTTGGAGGTGTCTACGGACAATGCTGGCTCTTCGGCTTAGAAATGGAGATGAGCACCACACCCCAGAGTCAGACATGACTGGACTTAATGTCAGGGGACTACCTTTCCTTTACCTTTAGGGTAGGGGCTTTCCTAATTTCTCCAGGTAGTGAATTCCAGAGTCAGGGAGCCACTGAGGAAAAAGCTCTCTCCCTTGTGCTTACAAGGTGAGCTTGTGAGACTGGCAGGGGTGAAAGAAGGGCCTCCCCAGAAGATCGGAGGGCCCGAGATGGTACATGGAGAGAAATACGGTCACAAAGGTAGGCGGGTCCCAAACTGTTTAGGGCTTTATAGGTGATAACCTGCACCTTGAATTGGGACCGGAAAATAAACGGGAGCCATTGGAGCTCCTTAAACAGGGGGGTTGACCACTCCCTGTAAGTCACCCCAATTATTAATCTGGCTGCCGAACGTTGGACAAGTTGTAGCTTCCGGGCTGTCTTCAAGGGTAGCCCCACGTAGAGAGCATTACAGTAATCCAGTCTAGAGGTAACTAGGGCATGGACCACCATGGTCAAGCCAGACTTCACGAGGTAAGGTCGCAGTTGGCGCACAAGTTTTAATTGTGCAAAGGCCCTCCCGGCCACCGCCGACACCTGTGCATCAAGCGTCAGTGCTGAATCCAGGAGGACCCCCAAACTGCGGACCTGTGATTTCAGGGGAAGTACAACCCCATCCAGCACAGGTAACCAACCAATACCCCGGTCAGCCAAGCGACTGACCTGGAGGACCTCTGTCTTGTCAGGATTGATCCTCAGCTTATTCTTCATCATCCAGGTCGACACAGTAGCCAGACACTGGTCCAGTATCCTCGGGGCTTCCTTGGAATCTGGTGGAAAAGAGTAGTGGAGTTGGGTGTCATCTGCATAGAGATGGCACCGTACTCCAAAACTTCGGATGACCTCTCCCAGCGGTTTTATGTAGATGTTGAATAGCATGGGGGACAGAATAGAACCTTGCGGGACCCCACAGGTCAATGGCCAGGGGTCCGAGCAGGAGTCCCCCAGCTTCACCAACTGGGAACGACCCTCCAAGAAGGACCAGAGCCACAGTAGAACCATGCCCCCGAGTCCCATCCCAGTGAGTCTCCCCAGCAGGATACCACAGTCGATGGTATCGAAAGCCGCTGAGATGTCCAAGAGAACCAGCAGGGTCACACTCCCCCTGTCCAGTTCCCTGCGGAGGTCATCTACCAAGACGACCAAAGCCGTCTCGGTACTGTGCCCAGACCTAAAGCCAGACTGCGAGCGATCCAGAAAATCAGTGTCATCGAGGAATCCCTGGAGCTGCAAGGCAACCACCTGCTCCAGTACCTTGCCCAAGAAAGGGAGGTTGGAGATTGGTCTGTAGTTGTTACATACAGTCAGGTCAAGAACTTGAAGCAGAACTCAATGGAAGAAGTTTAATGAAAATAAAAGAGTGGAACCTGAAGATGGTAAATATGGAAAGGATAAAAGAGGAATTAAGAGGAAGAGACTTAGATTGGTACAAGTATCTACAACTGGGTAAATGGTCAGGTGACATAAGGAAAAAGTATAATAGAGCTGGGGAATATACAAAAATAGAAAAGATAATAACTCAAAGGGAGACTAAAGAAGAGAATGTAGCATTAAAAATACAGTAAGTGATATCTATAATTTATTATTAATGGCCGAACAAGAACAAGTTTATTTGAGGGAAGTATGGGAAGTAGATTTGGGGAAAAAGTGAATAATCAAGAATGGGCAAGCATATGGAGTATGAGATTACTAAAACTATGTCTATAAAACTTAAGGAAAATTACTATAAAACAGTATGGAGGTGGTATCTAACTCCCATTAGATTAAATCAGATTGTTGGAGAGGCTGTCAGGAAATAGGGACGTACCTTCATATGTGGTTGTCATGTAAAACTATACAAACATTTTGGGAAAGTATATTTAAAGAAATAAGAACAATAATAAAAATAGAGATTGAGATTACACCAAAATTATCATTATTACTTATACATGATAATACAATTACCTTACAAGAGGAGAATGAATTGGTTTCTAATTTGATAACAGCAGCTAAATCGCTAATAGTAACAAACTGGAAAGAAAAAAAGAAAGAAACTCAATTAGAAGAATGGTATAGGGAAATTTGGAATATAGCTATTAATGATAAGCTAACTTGCAATACGGGTATAAGCCAGCAACAAAAACAATGGCATTTTGGAATTGTGAAACAACATGAGTTGGTTGGTCCTGGTGAAGGGGGCACAAACTAAGGGGAAGGGGAAGGGGGGGGGGGAAACCGCTATAATAATAACAAATATCTTGGTTTCTTTGGCATATATTCAACAACTTCTCAATGAGAGCATCTCACTGAGCAATTTCACTATGGTGTAGTTCAGGTATGGGCAAACCGAGGCCTGCGGGTTGGATGCAGGTCCTTGGTCTCTTGCCTCTGGGCCCACCTTCCAGCTGTGTTTCAAAGCCCCAGCCCCACTCTCCCAGTCACATGCAGCTGTGCAGATCCCCCCACCCCTGCGCCGGACACAACCCCTTCCCCTTTCTGGCTCGCCCACCCATCATGTGGCCCCCTTTCAAAAATGTTTGCCCATGCCTGATGTAGCTGATCATGAAGCCAACAACATAATTTGAGCAATTAGTTCTACCAGAACAACTTGTTTTAAGAAGTTTTCCTTTCTCTCTCTCTGCAGAAAGCATAGCTGAAATACTGGTTCTTATCGTAACTTTGATTTCAGTAAGGCCTTTTGGAGTGTGCACATAAAGGAATTCTCAACTAAAATGATGAAAAGCTAAATAAATGTTTAGACCATTTTGGAACTACTACTGTTTTTAATAAAGCTGTCTCTGCCCATTGGAATAACTCCCTTTGCATCTCTTCATGAGTCATTGTTCTTGGCTTGTCTTCTTTGTATCAAGAGGCATTCTCAAGAACAGTGACTCATGCAGAAACATAGGTTGGTAATATGCACTCTTTCACATTCTAACACTAAACTTTTAGCAGCATAATTTTAATTAAGAAAGTGGAAAACACTGGCCTATAAGTCAGCTTTGATTGTGTGTGTTTTAAAAAAATAGAGGACAGCAATCTCAAAACAGCAACAGCCTTGGAAAGTTTCTGTCCCTGAGATGTGAAAAAGTACAATCTTAGCAACAAACTCGGTTTCCATCTTACCACTAAACTAGTTCCTCTCTCTTTTTTAATATATGTTTTTATTGCCGAAACAGGTAGAATGATATCACAATCCATCACCATTTCCGAATACATATCAAATATTGTTTTCAAAGCGTTATCTATTCCACTTTTATCTCCCAGTTGTGTCTATCGTTATACACTCCTCTCCCACTCCCCTCACCCTCACCCTTTGGGAACAGTGCTTGTCTTCATTCAAATATTATTTTAATTGAACGATCATGGAAAAGAGAATGGTTCAGCTCTTTATATCTTTCCTTTCCTTCGACTATTTCTATCAGTTTTCCCCATTTCTGAACCCAGGTCTTCTTGATTAGGCATGATGTATATTTGGCTCTTCTTTCAGAGATGTAGTCCTGAAGCACAAATAATAATAATATGAAGAAGAAAATTTTATTTATACCCCGCTACCATCTCCGCAAGGGACTCGGCTTACATGAGGCCGAGCCCACAATACATCAGTAATAAA